CAGTCATCAGGTTATGGATCGTGGATGCTATGACAGCTCGTGAGTCGCCGATTGTGCGAGTCACACTCGAAATGTGCCTTCTTAGTCATCCAGTTAGTCTCAGCTTACCGCCGCTCATTTGCATTTATCTATGATGGCTTCACGGACTTTCTCCGCTGTTTTCGTCGCTCTCTGTGCTTTCCAGGACATCAATTCCGTGACGGGCAACGCCAATGACTGCGACACAGAGTGTGCCACAACTTACCCTGGGTCATATTGTAAGTATTGGAAGACGCCGAGCACCTGCTTCGGCTCGGATACCCCGTGCTTCTGCGGGACGAGTGGACCGACTGAGGCTCTCCGAGGTTCCACATCCTCTGCTGCAGTCACGGATGAGGTCACTGAGGCCGCTACAAGCGAAGAAGGTACGACAGCAGCTCCCGGAGCGACGAGTACGACTGGTTCTGAAGCTACTGTCGATGCCACAGTAGCGGCCAGTACAGCTGCGGTGACCGATGAGGTGGCTGTCACTACTGCACCTCCTGTGACTGGCGAAGTGACCATCAGCACGGCAGCTGGGGAAGCTCCCGGTAGAGACAAGGATGACTCTGATGCTACCACCAAGGTCACTACGGAGGCTGCGACTGTCACCACTACGATCAGTGCTCCTGTTGAGCCTACTACTACTATAACGTCCCCTTTCCCGGTCAGCACAGCTGCTGTGACCGATGAGGTGGCTGTCACTACTGCAGCTCCTGTGACTGGCGAAGTGACCATCAGCACGGCAGCTGGGGAAGCTCCCGGTAGAGACAAAGATGACTCTGATGCTACCACCAAGGTCGCTACGGAGGCTGCAACTGTCACGACTACTATCGGGGCTCCTGTTGAGCCTACTACTATCACGTCCCCTTTCCTGGTCAGCACAGCTGCTGTGACTGATGAGATTGTTGATACTACTGCAGCCCCTGTGACTGGCGGGGTCACCATCACCACGGCAGCTGGGGAAGTTCCGGGAAGAGACAAGGATGATGCTGATGCTACCACCCCGATCGCTACTGAGACTGCGACAGTCGCTACTACGATCAGTGCTTCTGTTGAGCCTACTACTCCCACGTCCCCTCTACCGGTCAGCACAGCTGCTGTGACCGATGAGATTGTTGCTACTACTGTGGAGACAACCGATTCCGAGACTACTCTCAGTCCGATTGTGTAGCCGATCTAGGTTAATGAAGCTTTGTAATGCCCGGTGAGCGCATTTAATACAATCCGGGCCACTGCATGATGTCTTGATAATGAGTGTATAAGTGTTCATCTGTCCAAGTTGTGTTGGAGACGTTGCGTCGTAACATCACGAAGGCATCGACGTTATACCCCAATACGAAACCTATTGACAGTGCATCAGAGATATCTGAGTGGTTGCGAGATTGATGAGCGAGGGCGGGCAAGCCGCACCACAATGATCCTCTTACCAACTAGCATGAGCCCATGTTGGTT